GGTCTGTTGTAGTTGGGGCGGGTGTACGGAACACCCAAAAGATTGGTGATATCTGTTGTAGCAGGGGGTCAGACCATATAGAAATGTTGTGCAAATTAATGGATACATTTTGTGTGACTAGGGTTGATCTCGAGCCGAGTTACGGGTGGGGGTGTAATGTCATGTGGTTCCGCATAGGTTGCATTTCAGAATTGTGTTCCGTTTGTGATATAGAAGTTTCAGATAATATCCCCTGAGATAGTTACATCTTGCAACGCGATTTGTTTCGTTGAATAAGGATGAAACCAAATGGAAATTCAAGCCAAAAGATTGGGGCGGGGTCATGTAATGTTTCGGAATTGTGTTCCATTTGTGATATAGACGTTTTGGATAATATTCCCCCGCAACGCGTGGTGTTCTGTTAAATAATATGATCTGCCCCAAGGTTTCATGAACCCTAAATAACGGTCTGTGGTACGGCGACACGCGTCACGAGCTTCTGATCCCACTAATCATGTCCGATTAGTCCAGCTAGGATCTAACCCAATCATGGAGGCGAACATGGGAGTGGTGCTAGTGCCAATGCACAACACATTGCATTGCCCAAGTCAAAACACCACCCCACCCAACCCAACCCAAGTGTTGAGCTAAGTGCAGAGCCAGTCCTGATGATCTCATTATGACAAGTTCTTCCTGTCGGCCTGATTGATTGTATTCTATATACTAATGTAACATGTACTAATGCCCCCATCCCCTGCACAAGTCAACGGATGGCAATGGCTTTTTAAAAAATGCTTCTTACAATGTGTCCACATCTACTGACTGCTGCTCCAGCAATGATAGTTGAAAAGTTAATTGTTGGGGTCAATGTTTAGCATCATCTACAAGATAGTCCCAACTCTGTGAAGTTCAAAAAAGAATTCAAAGTGCTTCAAACATAAGGGAAGATAGTCCCAATCTTTGACACTTCTCTTATGGTATATATATATGCTGATCAATTACTGAATATGAGCATGTTGTATCACCCGCGGGCTATTACGCGGTCGCGGTGACGGAGCTGGGAGTGCATGGCAAGCAAGGAGGAGGAGAAGGTGATGTGAGATAAATGATAATCATGAGCAAATTGCAGGGCTCATAAGTTGGCCATTGGAGTTTTGTTTGACGCAGCTGAAGAGCAAAGAAGGTGCCGTAGAAGCAGCTGCCTACTGCTTGAATGGGCACAAGGACTTTGTGTGGATGCACATATCTCTTCCTGATTTGTTTGGGCACAAATCATGCTGCTGCCAAACTGTCCATGACAATTGACATCATGGAAGGTGGTAGACATGTCCACTACAACATACATACATACTAGCCACTCTAGCTAGCTAGCTACCCTCAACTATACATAAAAGAAAATTCATACCCAAGAAAACAAAAAAATAATATTATGATGAGAATCTATCTTGTGATCATCAAGGCCTCCATTAATGAGATCATGCCAAAATTCCATTTCAGGGAAGAGAGAGAGAGAGAGGTTAGTTAGAGAGAGAGGGTGGTTAGTTAGAGAGAGAGAGAGATCTTTGGGGGAGTGTGGAGCAGTTGCTTACACCATCTCCACTACTAGGCTACTACTGCTGCTGCTGCCTACTGCTACCAGTACACACACCACACACACACACACCACCAGCAGCAGCAAGCAGCTGCAAGCACACATAAAGTAGTGGCATAGCTAGCTGCAACTTACAGGAAAGGCAACAGCCGTATGTAGCTGCCTGTTTTTAATACACAAGCAAGCCATCCAACCTCTGACTATTGAGCAACAACTTCTTCTTTTTTCTTTTTTCTCCTTTCTTTAAGGCTCTGTTTAACAGGCCAATCAAGCATCAATCATTTCTCATCAACATGTTGTGTGTGGAGTGTCCATGATTCTGCTGATTAAAGGGAATTGTGGAGGCAGTTGTACTTAACACTAACACTTCACCTAGAGTGAACTCTGGAAGGAAGGGCAATTTCCTCTTAATATGCAGCAATTTATAATTTTCACAATAAAGAGAATGATGGTGTCTCTAATTTCCTCTTAATGTGCGGTAATTTATAATTTTGATGTCACTTTCCAACCATTACTTATTAGATCCGTAGGCATTTAAATGATACCAGCGGAAATTAAACTTAGTTGACAAAATAGTTCTTCCGGTAACGTGGCTAGGATCTGTATAGCGCGTGGTGAAGCTAAGTACGCGCTATTTGGCATGGCGGAAATATGGAAAGGGAAAACATAAAGTGAAGCAACAAATAAAGTGAAAAGGAAGTAAAGGCAAATAATCATTTTTAAATATTTTTTCATGTTCGGCACTTTAACCCGATATTTTGGAAATTAAGTAAGGAGTTGGCATAAAAGGAGTACAAGCATGTGTCCTGTTTTTTTCTGAATAGGACTATCTCTTTTGAAGCTTAAAATCACTTCGTTTTCACTTCAAGTCTCCGTCAAGACTTCTCGCCTTTATTTCCCCTAATCTCTATTTGCTAATTTCATGCTAGCCAACCACTGAATTCACATGCTGATTACATGGTGCTTGTACTTCAAGGATGAAAATAATGGCTTCAACCACTGAAAGATCGAAACAGAACAAAAGCTACGTGAAGTCCTTTCTTTTAATAAAACAAGCAAAAACAATACTTTGAAATCCTACATAGTTGTGGAAAAACTACACATGTACATATAGATGTGTAGCATGTACAATGTAATTTTTTCATAGATACAACTTTTCAGTTGTGGTGTACAGACAAAAAAGGTCAAATATGTGCATCAAAACAGAGTTGCTTTTTGCAGCCCACAAATTTATATTTTTGTCTAGCTTATATATATAACAAATTTATAAATATCAGTGG